CGGTTCGATGGCAGAGAGGATCCAGAGTTCCCTGTCCCGCTCATTCAAAAACGGACTTCTTCTTCTTTTTGATTTAATGGCGGTTGGCAAGCAACTTAATGTTGTGCATTACCGCCACCTACTGGTACGGAGTGTGGATCAGGACGCGTGCACCGGACTCAAGATTCGGGGGTATATTTTACTCTATTTTCCTATGTAGCAGGTTTTTACTGTTAACGAATGGGTAGCATATGTATAATTTACCCATTATTTTATAATTCCTTAGCTAACTGAAAAAATCTATTACATTTTATATGATTTTTTTAGATCATATTTACCACTCTCCAAAATCACTTTTTTCAGTGCACTTTCAGTCTCTGAAGACTGGCTTTTTATGAAGCTTCATAAATAAATATTTACAATCTAGCTCAAACAATTACTCATTCATAACTTTTGCTCAAATATGTGGCTATTTTACCTTAGCTCACTTCCCCTATACAAGACAGCTAATATAAATAGCAGCGCTGATTTATATTTACCTGTTAACAGACGAGCGACAGTGAGCGCCTGCGCGGATCAGCCGTTGGCTCGCTGAGTCAGGAGTGCTCACTGTTCTGTACGCCCACTGGTGGCGAACTGCTGTAACTGCAGCTTAATGCATCTCTCAGTCCGAATAGAAGTGCAGCTTAAGAATAATTTCTATAGCCAAACAGAAGTATTTAAATAAAGTGAGAAAAGAGAGAAATGAGTAAGAAAAGGGAGGGGATGTAATTATTTCTAATGTCCATTCTGTCACACTTTTAAGGCACATTTCAGCAACAAGGCATTTCAAAGTGCTTTACATAATAAAAATACAAAGTCATAGAAACACACAGTCAACAACATTATATTTGGCTGTTGTTAATAACATCAATCGGGTTATTGATTAATGTTTCATGATTATGTTTCAAAAGCAACTCTAAGCAGGTGGGTTTTTAGTCTATTTAAAGGAACTCAGTGTTTCGGCTGTTTTGCAGTTTTCTGGATAAGGCACTTAAGGGTGATATCAAATTTTCTACATAATGATGCTATTATGTTATAATATAGTAAACTTCCAGATTCACGATGATAAAAAGCTTGCAGAATTGTTCATTATTGTCACTTACAACTATACCAGTGGTTAAGCACTAGTTAAAAAGTTTTGATGTTACATAGTGGTTGGTTTTAAGTGAATTCTGGTAAACGCAGGGGATCCTGAAGAGCGTGCTGCAGCCATGTTTGATAATGGCCATAGCCTTTTGAAATCAATCTTGAAAGATTAAAAACATTGAAATCAGTTTTTCAAGAAAAAAGTTTTCTTTTGCTTGATTGTCATTTTGTAATTGTGTTACAGTAATTATTTTCATTTTGATCTTTAAAATACCTAAATTTCTTTGTATTTTGGTCCATCTGTTTATGTAATTTTTAAATATTAAATGACTGATGTTTTGATCAGTCATTCACTACTTGAGTAATTTTTTACATTTACTTTGGTAAAAATTTGTTGAAGTAGCTCTACCCTTACAAAAAAAAAAGCAAAAAGGAGTGAATAAAAGAGGAGAAGAAGAGCGTGCTGGTAAGATGGAGTAAGGTAGTTTTATTTATATAGCACATTTTCAGCAACAAGGCAATACAAAGTACTTTACAGGAATTAAAAGGAAATACAAACAAAATAACAAACCGAGAGCAAAGGAAGCAAAAGAAACTAATGTTGATCTAAAGTATGTAAACTAGATACTACTATTCAGGGTTGCTAAGTATCCTCTCGTCTAATTCCATTTCTGGGTTGGGAGAATAGGAGTCTAAAAAGTCTACCTTAGTTGCTAAGGTAGTCTTTCTGGGTTCCAAGTTATAATCCCTGTTCTGAGTTGAGTAAGTATCCTCTGGATTTCTGGGATCCTAGATAAGTATAAGTATTCTCTGGACTTTCTAAGAATGCTCTAAATTTGTAAAAGTAATTAGTACTCCACAGGTTCTAATTAATAATAAGAACTAAATGTTCCTGTTCTAGAAGATTTTTTTTTCTGGACTCTAAGTTACTTCTAGTTCCTTTTCTGGGTTGCAATAATAGGAGTCTCTTTGCATCTAAATAGTGAGTACTCTACAGTTTCTAAAAAATAAGCTAAAGAGTGACTAATAAACTAGAGTCTTTGGATTCCAAGTTTGTTCTAATTCCTTTTCTGCTGTTGAAAGTGAGTACTCCACAGTTTCTAACAAAATAAAATACAAAAAGAGTTAAGGACACATTAGGGCAAATGACAACATTCAGGCAAAACAAAGACATGAATGAAGGCGGTGACATCACAGGGCCATGAACCCAGGTTGCTCAGCCTCCCAGCAGAAGTCCGATAAAGATGTTGTTACCTAGAAATGTCCTTCGGAGAACTGAGCTCCACAGCTGCATGGATAACAGGAGGGGGTGAGGTGGGAAGGACCATTATGTTTACATATCTTCCAGGAGATTGGAAATATGCAGCACCACCAAGGCAACACAGGAAAGCCAGTTCAGATACAAAATGTCTTAGGGCGGGTATATTATAAATTTCAATCTTCCCCAAAGTCTCTCCAACACATCTCAGTTCCCAATTATCCAAATTAGTGTGGCCGTTCCAATGAACCGAAACTAGCAATTTCTCCAAGATTGATTCCATTCTGTTAGTGAGTTTATGCTCACTAACGGAGTACTGCAAAACCAGAGTCAGACGTTATTTGTGGTAGAATAATTTACTTTTACTGCTATATGTCTTATCTGCATTCTGTTTATTTGCATACTTCTGTGTGATTCATGCAGCGTGTCCTGAATCTCTTTCCATCCTTCTTTCCTGTTGCAGGTTGTGGTTCAGGGCAGCGCCAGCAGCAGCGACGTGACGATAATTTCTCTGAATAAGCCAGCAAACACTGTAGAGAGGAAAGTTCCAGAGGTGGAGGAGTACGTTCATGAATTAAGTTCTGTTTATTTTCTGATTTATTTCATCCATTACTGTCGTCATATCACAGATTTGTTTTGTCTCAGGGCTTTAGGTAAAACTCTGGGCTGGACGGTGAACATAATCCAGGTTTCGAGCTCTGGTGGAGAAGGAAGCCGAACGCTGAGGGAATCGGTCAGGACTCTGGTCAGCTTCATCGCTCTTGATGGCGATAAAGCTGTTGAAACTCAGGAAGTCACAAAGTAGGATTTTAATTTTTGACTCAAACATGGGATTTTTTGAAACATAGTGAATGTGATCTAAGAATGCAATGCAACACTCTAACCTCAGATTTTAAAGGTGACCTATTATGCTTCCTTGAACAGGATAGGATGCGTCTATGGGCTAATCAATATTCACATTCAAAAATACTTTATTGATCCCAAAGGGAAATTCACTGTTGAAACTCATTAATTCAGATTTTTCAGACAGTGATGGCTGTTGGCAGGATCCTGCAGCAGTCTGTGTTACAGTGAATTTGAAGAAGCCTCTGACTGAATAGAATAGAATAGAATAGAATATTCTTTATTGATCCCCAAAGGGAATTTGTTTATTAGTTGACAAGCTACTCCATCTAAGGCAGTGGTGCTTAAAGTCGGTCTTCGGGGGCCGGCATCCTGCATGTTTTAGTTCTATCCCTGGTGGTAGTAACAACCTCCTCAGCAAGCCAATGTTCTCCTTAGGCCTTCTAATGAGCCATCATATGATGCAGGTGTGCTAAACCACTTTGGGCACCCCTGATATAAGGTGTTTGTGATGGACCGAGTTAAAAGTAGGAGGAGTCACAGGATATATTGGAAAAATAGTTATTCTTTTTATTAATATTTTAAACCAAAAATGTATAAATGACAAACAGATAAACTGAGAAAGAAAGAGAAAGAGAAAGAAACAAAAGTCTTGTATAGCCCACACAAGACATGCTTGTGTCTTGTGTGGGCTATAGCTTCTTCAAGGAAGCATGAAACTGGACCTTTAACTGTTAGGGCTGTTAAAGGTCAAGCAGTTAAAGAAATAGAGACTCAGCTGAGAGTATAAAAACATGGAAGATGTAAATTCTGTATAACGGATCCCCTTTAAAGTTTTAACTTGTCTGTTTGATTTTCCAGGAAACTGCAGAGCCAGTCTGAAGAGGTGAGAGCGGAGCTGGCCAAGGTGTTGGGGAACGATGTTCAGTTTCAAGTGGAGACGGGAAAAGATCCTCCAGGCATCAGCTCAGACCGGATTACAATCATCGTTCTGGGAATCTTGGCTGGCCTGGCTTTAGTGGGACTGATTCTGACTGTTTCTGTATTTAAAAGGTGAGCCTCAGACTGCTTTGAGTGTCAAAAACAGAAATATCAGACTTTTCAAAATCTGAAATTTTCGAGTTTTTCAAGAGATTAATGTCAAAATCTCTGAGTTTTTAATGGAAATGTACTCCTCCTTTCGTATATATCTACAATGGCCTTAATATGGCATCATAAAGACCAGTAATAAAACCATCCATCCATCCATTTTCTTTACACCCTTGTCCCCCAGTGGGGTCGAGAGGGGTGCTGGTGCCTCTCCAGCTAACGTTCTGGGCGAGAGGCGGGGTACACCCTGGACAGGTCGCAGGGCAACACAGAGACAGACAGGACACACAACCATGCACACACACACTCACACCTAGGGAGAATGTAGAGAGACCAATTGGACTGTGGGCGGAAGCTGGAGTACCCAGAGAGAACCCACCATGCACAGGGAGAACATGCAAACGCCGGGAATTGAACCCAGAACCTTCTTGCTGCAAGGCAACAGGGCTAGTAAAAAAACCAAAACTGCAAAAAAAAAAAAAATATATATATATATAATCCATTATATTATAATGGATTTCTAATATTGTATAAAAAGGAGTAAGTGGGTGAACAAAAAATCTGCAAAATGTGTTAACTTGTTTTTCTGATTAATCATGAGAGTAATCGCTATGATAATTCATTATTAAATTAATTAACAGTTAGTTGCAGCCCAACATTAAGCTTTCCTTAGTTTGCAACACGTTTCAAAAATTTAGTATTTGTTTTCATAAACTGTTTCATAAATGCATCAATAATGTAGCATCATAGTTATTATATATATATACCTGTTGAGAGTGTCATGAGGTGTGGTTGTAGTGGTGAGGAGAGACGCCGAGACCCAGGTATGGTGGTGATGATATTTAATGATGAAAGTAAAGCTCAGTCCAAAACAGGCAGCACGGCAGAGAGACAGGCACACAGCCAAATACCGGTAGCAACTGAACGACAGGACTACGTGCGAGCGAACACAAACCAGGACTTAGCAGTACAACTGGTGAGTAGACTAACAACAATAGACAAGGACCCGACGAGGAACACAGACAACAGGTGGGTTTAAATACACACGGGGTAATTAAGGGAACACCTGGGGAGCAAACAACGGGGAGGACAGGACAGAGACTCACAGGAACACAGGACTGAACACAGAGAAACTCAAAAATAAACACACAGAAACACGGAACCTAACAGTACCCCCCTCTCAAGGGCGGATACCAGACGCCCACAAAAACAGAAAAGTCCAATAACAAAAAACAACCCAGCAGGGTGGGCGGAGGGGCGATGGCCAGAGGGCAAGTGTCCAGAAAACAACAAAGAAAGCAACCCAACTGGGTGGGCGGAGGGACGGGTCCGGCGGGCAAGTGTCCAGAAAACAACAAAGAAAACAACCCAACTGGGTGGGCGGAGGGACGGGTCCGGCGGGCAAGTGTCCAGAAAACAACAAAGAAAACAACCCAACT